CTTGTTGTCTCAAATTGAAGAAAACTCTAGAAAAGTCTGTCACTGTAGACATCGTTCCCACAGCAGATAATTTCGGTAAGGCAATGTGCAGCCAAGTGCAAGCCACTCCAGTGATAATTAATCTCACTGCACATGGTTCAGTGCATCTAATTTATAGGTAATTCCCGAGGCGCAACTCCCAGAAAGCGCACAGTTTTATGACTGGGTCGAAATCCAGTGAACATCAGTTAACGTCTGATCGAATTCTGGCCAACAATAAAACATGGCGAATTTAGTACTTAAGATTACGTTTTTTATTTTTTATTTTACCATACTCAATTTTAGAAGGAGATTTCCTCTTTTAAGTACTCGTCCCTTCGTAGTGTAGGCGATTATATCAATCCACAACTCCCTATCCTTTTCTGTCATCCATCTTCTATGTCGCATCAGTTTCGTGCGCTGCGCTCTTGGTCCTTCCTCATGTGCTTATCGATCTGGGTAAGCCATAAGGAACTCTAAACTGGACACGTTATTTAAGACTAGACTGAGCTTCTTCCAGTGCTCAGAATTATCGATTAGTTCTTATTTTTAGTACTGCTCGCTAATTGTTCGCCGTTTCCATTCAGTGCAAGTACGCACTGCCAGTCGCAAGGATTTAAATCGCAAACACTACATCAGCAAATTCTGAAAAAAACGATTTTATCCACTAGGATATAGTTCCGCGTTTTTTGTCTCAGAAGATGAAGGCTGGAGGGGGCATTAACGGTCGAAGAATTATTATGACAACAAAAATAAAGACAGTAATCTGAATAAGAATATGTAAATAATAACTCCTGATCCCAAAAATTGGACAGATGGCGATCAGGTGATAAAAACAAGAAAGATGAGGACAATAGTCTGGATTTAAATAGTGTGAATAATGATAAATTCTTATCCCAGAAACCCAGACAGAAGTTAGTCAGTTGATAACAACAACAAAGATGAAGACAAACGATCGAATGTAAATAATGTAAATAATGATAACTCCTCATCCCAGAAATTCAGGGAGAAGGTGATCACGTGAAAATAACAACAAAGATAAGGACAATAGTCTGCATGTAAATAGTGTAAATAATGATAACTCCTTATCCCATAGATTCAGATAAAAGGCGATCACGTGATAATAACAACAAAGATGAGGACAATAGTCCTCATGTAAATAGTGTAAATAATGATAATTCCTCATCCCAGAAATTCAGGCAGAAGGCGATCAGGTGATAATAACAACAAAGATGAGGACAATAGTCTGAATGTAAATAGTGTAAATAATGGTAACAACAAACTCATATATCACTGCCTTTATGCGGTGTGATGTTTAGCAAACTTTTCTCGCTAGAAAAGAGTAATGAGTTCGATCTTTACTGGCTGCCTCATACTTTCGACCTTGTGTCACACATCCTTTATTATTTACATATTTTTCGTATTTTTCCAATTACACATAACCCGGTGCACATGTTAGTGCTCAATATGTCCATTCTACGAAGTCGTTCCTTGCAGATTGACCACAGATTCACGATTGGATTTAAAACAGGAGAGTTTCCGTGCCAGTCCATAGTACTCTGATTTTTTAACTGGTGAGGCTTGCCAGTGTATTCATACAGTGTTAAAATATTCGTACGGTTTATCTGGGGTAACGTCCATCGCAGACAATGGACATGGGACAACTAATCGATAGTCGGGACAATAGTGTCTGGGCGCGATGAAAATCTGATGCAATCTCGGATAGCATAATATTTTTCAAGGCCAAGCAAATTTCATCATATACCTGAAAATAGATTCATATTACTGTACACCACTGCAAATGACCTAATCTGAGGAAAAAATAGAATTCGATTACACCCTCTCACTCCAGTGGGTCTAAAACTGGCCGTATCATGAATGAAAGGAAACTAAAGCGGTTGTTTCAATTATTTTGCACAGGGGGGATAGGCAGTGAAATATCCGATTACGTATCTCATACCGGCTTTCATCTATTTAAAAAAAAATAATGATCTTGAAGTCGTCTAATTGTTGCCATAATCCCAATGTTGCAAGTGAAGTTTAAGAATATAATCAAAAAGAATAAACTGAAATGCATCAGAATTTTCCTGCAAACACTCATACAAGTCCACATATTTGACTTTAAAATCGTAGGTACACACATGGGTTTAATCGGTATCTTACTTATTATAAAACGCATATTGTGTGTGTGTCTGTACGTTTATATATTGGATCGGATTTCCTACATTTTTCAACCTATTTCAACAAAACTTCACAGGCCTACGTAAAATTACCTTGTGGTGGTTCTGACAGCGCCCAAAAATTGGAAAAACAATTGTTTTTGCACGAAATCAATTTGAAAACACGATTAGGAGGCATTAATGAAAGGGGGACAACTCATTTTGAGTTATAATTATTAATATCGAGTTATACTTAAAAAACCCAAGTTGGTTGTGTGTGTGTGTGTGTGTGTATGTGTGTGTGTGTTCATTTATATATGGGATCGGATTTCCTACATTTTTCAACTGATTTCAACAAAACTTCACTTTTTTTTGGCAGGTAGTGTTTCTTATTGTTTTGCACACTTTTTCTTTATTTTTACATTCAGAATGCTTTAAAAATTCCATTTACAAGACAATTGTTTATAATAAAATTCAATTCAATTAGTAGACTCATAACAATTGAAAACAATGTTTTTGTTTGAGTTTGGGTTTGACCAATTCGTAAAAAAAAAAAAAATAATAATTAAGACATGCGTGTCCGTCATCCTTAAACAATAATCTTTGTCAATTTTATTTTTCAGTCTTTATGATGGTCGATACTTGATCTATCTCTTACTGTTTCATCCCCGGGCAACGCCGGGCTCTACTGCTAGTAATTCATAAAATAATAACTATATTAAATTACAGGAGTATGTCCTGGAAGTATTGACGCCGCTTTTTTTTCATTTCTATAACAAGAAAAATGTAGAAGCCCCTCAAATATATTCACGAATCACGATTTTCATGCCATTTACTTTAAGAAATACGTGATCGTGACTCTCCACAGATTCTTTTTCTGTACTTACTGTGAATTGTCATCGCTTATTGGGAATGGTAATGGATTCTTGCGTTCGCCACGGTTTTTAATTCAAAGTAATCGTTTCAATAACAGTTTTTAGGCTGTCCTTCTTCAGGACGTGGGTGATCAATGTTCTCTACAGATCCCTTTCTTTTATTATATGTCAATTCTCCTGGCTTATTTGGAAAGATTTTTGAATTGTTCCTCGTAGATAATTTTGATATCATTTTCATATTTGGTTTTTGGAGTCTTGACCGTTCTGCTCGTTAGAGATTATGACTCTCCACATATGTCCTTTATTTATTATATATTAATTACGACTATACTTCTGAGATGAGGTATTGTAATTATTTACACTATTTACATTGTTCGGACTGTTGCCCTCAAATTCGTTGCCATATTCACGACGTTTAGACCGTTCTACGCTCCGGCCTTCTTCTATATCTATCTATATTTCTGAGATGAGGTATTGTAATTATTTAACTATTTACATTGTTCGGACTGTTGTCCTCATCTTCGTTGCCATATTCACGACGTTTAGAACGTTGTACACTCCGGCCTTCTTCTATATCTGTCTATATTTCTAAGATGAGGTATTGTAATTATTTACACTATTTACATTGTTCGGACTGTTGTCCTTATCTTCGTTGCCATATTCACGACGTTTAGACCGTTCTACGCTTCGGCCTTCTTCTATATCTGTCTATATTTCTGAGATGAGGTATTGTAATTATTTACACTATTTACATTGTTCGGACAGTTGTTGCCATAGTCACGACATTTAGACCGTTGTGTCCTTCTTCTATATCTGTCTATATTTCTGAGATGAGGTATTGTAATTATTTACACTATTTACATTGTTCGCACTGTTGTCCTCAACTTTAGTGCCATATTCGCTTCGTATAGACCGTTGTACGCTCAGGCGTTCTTCAGATGATTGGAATTTCGAACTGAATCCTTTATATCGTCCACCGGTGTAGATTATTCTAGTTCATACAAATTCATTCACTGATGTCATCAAGGACACATGCCCCAATGGAAAAAAGCGTTGGCTGGATCAAGTTACTTGACTTAAAGTGTTGTGTATGCAGTACTGCAGTGGTAGACAGTAACTTAGGGAGTTAAAGGGAGATAACTGAGACTTTTTGAAGTGGCATGGCACGCGGAACGAGAACAATCTACTCCGCTAGATGAAATAAAGGCTTCAGTTTAAAATTCTAATCACCTGAAGCAGACCGGAGCGTAGAACTGCAGAATCGTCGTAAATATGGCAATAAAGATGAGGACAACACTCCGAACAATATAGATAATGTAAATAATTACAATACATCATATCAGAAATATACATGGAAATTATTATATAATATATAAAGGTCATGTGGGGAGAGTCATTATCACCAACCCGCAGGAGGATCAAGGCTCAAAAAAAAAATGTTTTCAAAACATTAATTTCCCTGGCTTATTAGGGACGTTAGATGAGTTGTCTCTCTTTACGGTCTTGAATTTCAAAGTGCTTCCTCTTCTAGAATAACTATGAGAGTTAAGTCTACGCCACTATTTAACCAAAGAAGAAATGATTTAGCTATTGCTCCAACTCAGCGCTAGAGACAAGACCAGAAATTGAACTCAGTTCGCCTATTAAATGCGAGAAATGTGTATTCAGCGGTACTAACGAACTCATAACGTTTCTGTTGTTTAATTTAAACGAAAATATCCGAATAACTTCAATTAAGGTCAGTCTTGTTGCTTGTTAAACGAAATTAGTCGGCGTTATTTCGTTGTTTTGTTTTTTATCAGAGATATGCTTTGCTTTCATTTTATTACTAATTTTTCTTTATTTTTTTAAAGGTTAGATGTGAAGTTAATGTGTGTTTAGTAATGTAATTGTTAAAAAAAAAAAACACCTCTGTGCATTTTTGTGGGGCAGCGTGATTGAGACGAGGTCACCTCATTAATAAATAAATTAATTTGTGGTTGTCGGAAACAATGGAGATAAATTGAAATGCCGTACGGATTAATGAAATTGAAAGGTCGAAGAAAGAAAAAACAAAGAAGAACGATATGACAGAGAGATAAAAGAATGAAAAACGGACTAAAATAAGAAAGAGTGAAGAAAATTTAAAAAGAAAATTAATGAAGAAAACATAATTATTCAAAAACGAAAACGAAAGAGAAAAAAAAATCAGAAATGAATACAAACGAAAGCAAAAGAAGAAAGGAAAGAGAACTGATGCATAAAATCTAGTTTTCTAGTAACAAAGCTTCGACGATATGTCTTCATCAGGGAACTTGTTCCTCGTTCTTCTCTTTATGCTTTCCATAAACATGCCCCTTTCCTCTTTCTTTCATTTTCTGTAATGCCTTGCGTGCTTTTCGCATTGCCTTCTTGCTTGGGGTTAATTGCTTGAAAAAAAAAGAAAAACTATAACGGATGAAGTTGAAAAATAATAAAAAAATAAGGATTGAAAAATATTGTCAAATAAAGGGAAAAATAAAATGAAGAAAGAATATTAGAGGTCGTAAAAAATATAAAAGAGAAAAAAAGAACGAGAAAAATACTTAAAACAAAGAAAAATATTAGATAATATAAAATAAAAATATAATGAAAAAATGAGAAAAAAGAGACATAATAAACGATACGATAAATACGATAGGTCTTCATCAGGAAAGTTGGTAACAGTAACGACAATTCGTCTTCGGATCAGGAATGTTCGTAACCGTAACGACGATTGGTCTTCGGGTGAATTAAGACCAGATCAGAAACGTTGGGAACAGTAACGACGATTCGTCTTCAGCTGAATTAAGACCAGATCAGAAACGTTGATAACAGTAACAACGATTCGTCTTCGGGTGAATTAAGACCAGATCAAAAACGTTGGGAACAGTAACAACGATTCGTCTTCGGGTGAATTAAGACCAGATCAGAAACGTTGGGAACAGTAACGACGATTCGTCTTAGAGTGAATTAAGACCAGATCAAGAATGTTCGTAATAGTAACGACGATTGGTCTTCGGATGAATTAAGACCAGATCAGGAACGTTGGTAACAGTAACGATAATTCATCTTCGAGTGAACTAAGACCAGATCAGAAACGTTGGTAACAGTAACGACGATTCGTCTTCGGGTGAATTAAGACCAGATCAGAAACGTTGGTAACAGTAACGACGATTCGTCTTCGGGTGAATTAAAGACCAGACCAGGAACGTTGGTAACAATAACGACGATTCGTCTTCTGGTGAATTAAGACCAGATCAGAAACGTTGGTAACAGTAACGACGATTCGTCTTCGGGTGAATTAAGACGAGATCAGGAACGTTGGTAACAGTAACGACGATTCGTCTTCGGGTGAATTAAGACGAGATCAGAAACGTTGGTAACAGTAACGACGATTCGTCTTCGGGAAGAAAGACCAGACCAGGAACGTTTAAAACGAGATCAATTAAACCGTTGGTAACAGTAACGACGATTCGTCTTCGAGATCAGGAATTAAAGTAACCAGATCAGGACGAGATCAGAAACGTTGGTAACAGTAACGACGATTCGTCTTCAGGTGAATTAAGACCAGATCAGGAACGTTGGTAACAGTAACGACGATTCGTCTTCGGGTGGACCAGATCAGATATAACAGTAAACGATTCGTCTTCAGGTGAATTAAGACCAGATCAGGAACGTTGGTAACAATAACGACGATTCGTCTTCGGGTGAATTAAGACCAGGACAGCAATGTTGGTAACAGTAACGACGATTCGTCTTCGGGTGAATTAAGACCAGATCAGAAACGTTGGTAACAGTAACGACAATTCGTCTTCGAGTGAATCAAGACCAGATCAGAAACGCTGGTAAAAGTAACGACGATTCGTCTTCGGGCGAATTAAGACCAGATCAGGAATGTTGGTAACAGTAACAACGATTCGTCTTCGGGTGAATTAAGACCGGATCAGGAACGTTGGTAACAGTAACGACAATTCGTCTTCGGGCGAATTAAGACCAGATCAGAAACGTTGGTAACAGTAACGACGATTCGTCTTCGGGCGAATTAAGACCAGATCAGGAATGTTGGTAACAGTAACAACGATTCGTCTTCGGGTGAATTAAGACCGGATCAGGAACGTTGGTAACAGTAACGACGATTCGTCTTCGGGTGAATTAAGACCAGATCAGAAACGTTGGTAACAGTAACGACGATTCGTCTTCGGGTGAATTAAGACCAGATCAGAAACGTTGGTAACAGTAACGACGATTCGTCTTCGGAGGAATTAAGACCAGATCAGAAACGTTGGTAACAGTAATGACGATTCGTCTTCGGGTGAATTAAGAACAGATCAGCAATGTTGGTAACAGTAACGACAATTCGTCTTCGGGTGAATTAAGACCAGATCAGAAACGCTGGTAACAGTAACGACGATTCGTCTTCGGAGGAATTAAAACCAGATCAGAAACGTTGGTAACAGTAATGACGATTCGTCTTCGGGTGAATTAAGACCAGATCAGCAATGTTGGTAACAGTAATGACGATTCGTCTTCGGGTGAATTAAGACCAGATCAGCAATGTTGGTAACAGTAACGACGATTCGTCTTCGGGTGAATTAAGACCAGATCAGAAACGTTGGTAACAGTAACGACGATTCGTCTTCGGGTGAATTAAGATCAGATCAGGAACGTTGGTAACAGTAATGACGATTCGTCTTCAGGTGAAATAAGACCAGATCAGAAACGTTGGTAACAGTAACGACGATTCGTCTTCGGGTGAATTAAGACCAGATCAGGAAAGTTGGTAACAATAACGACGATTCGTCTTCGGGTGAATTAAGACCAGATCAGAAACGTTGGTAACAGTAACGACGATTCGTCTTCGGGTGAATTAAGACCAGATCAGAAACGTTGGTAACAGTAACGACGATTCGTCTTCGGAGGAATTAAGACCAGATCAGAAACGTTGGTAACAGTAATGACGATTCGTCTTCGGGTGAATTAAGACCAGATCAGCATTGTTGGTAACAGTAACGACGATTCGTCTTCGGGTGAATTAAGACCAGATCAGAAACGTTGGTAACAGTAACGACGATTCGTCTTCGGAGGAATTAAGACCAGATCAAAAACGTTGGTAACAGTAATGACGATTCGTCTTCGGGTGAATTAAGACCAGATCAGCAATGTTGGTAACAGTAACGACGATTGGTTTCGGGTGAATTAAGACCAGATCAGAAACGTTGGTAACAGTAACGACGATTCGTCTTCGGAGGAATTAAGACCGGATCAGAATCGTTGGTAACAGTAACGACGATTCGTCTTCGGGTGAATTAAGACTAGTTCAGCAATGTTGGTAACAGTAACGACGATTCGTCTTCGGGTGAATTAAGACCCAGAACGTTTAAAAGTAAACGACGGGTGAATTTGCTAACAGTAACGACGATTCGTCTTCGGGTGAATTAAGACCAGAACAGGAACGTTGGTAAAAGTAACGACGATTGGTCTTCGGGTGAATTAAGACCAGATCAGGAACGTTGGTAACAGTAACGACGATTCGTCTTCGGGTGAATTAAGACCAGATCAGGAAATTTGGTCATCGCTCCATTCAGAGATTTTGGGTATTAAGAAAATATCTGTCTATATTTCTGCAATATTTACATTGTCCACATCTTTATTGTCATATTCTCGATGTTTTGTCCGTTTTACGCTCCGGTCTTCTTCAGGTAACAGATGCTGCACTTTCGAACCAAACACTTTATTTAGCCCATTACTATCAAATCCACATGAGTAGATTGTTCTAATTCCACGTGCCATGCCTTTGGATTTTTCAGTTTTAGTTAATTATCCTTAATAACTTATCTCTCCAATTATTTGTTCCCTCTGCTGTGGCCAGGTATCGAACTCGCCATACTTTGGGTCAAATCACTTTGGATCAATGGAGCAATGATGAAAGATTATAGGTGTTAAGCAAATATCTGTCTATATTTCTGAGAGGAGGTAACTATTTACAATATTTACTTTGTCCTCATCTTTATTATCATATTCACAACGTTTTGTCCGTTGTACGCTCCGTCCTTTCTTCAGTTGATTCGAATTTAGAACTGAACCCTTTATTTCATCCGCTGGGGTAGATTGTTCTAGTTCCACGTGCCACGCCTCTTCCGGGCGTCTCAGTTATCTCCCTTGAACTGGATCCAACCAACATTTTTTATCCACTGGGCCGTCTGTCTTTGAGGACATCTGTGTATGAATTTGTATGAACTAGAACAATCTGCCCCGGTAGACGAAATAAAGGATTCAGTTCGAACGTGTATCCCCTGAAGATAAAACGGCTGAAACATCATCAGTATGGTAATAAAGGTGAGGAGAACAATCCGCATAATGTAAACGATATAAATATTAATTTCCCTGGCTTATTGGGGACATTACATGAGTTTTCTTTCTCTCCTATTTTGAATTTCTTCCTCTCCTAGACTAACTAGGAGAGTTAAGTCTACCCTACCATTTAACCAGAGAAGAAATTAATTCCCGGTGGCATTAACTCAGTATCTTCAGGTGATATGCCTTGAAATTTTGAACCTAACAGTTTATTTAGCCATCCACTGTTTCAGTTCCATAGACCCTGATTTATCTGGATATATCAGTTATTTCCCTTTAGTAACTCATTTCTCCAATTTTTTTGTTGTTCACCCTTGCTGTCATGAACTCACAACTCTTTGGGTCAAGTCAGTTTTCGATAAATCAACCAATGCCAGTGGAGTGGATCAAAGCATTGGATCATTGATCCAAAAGTGTACTCTGCTAGTTTTTTTTTGTTCAATATAATCAAAAGTCAGTTGATAGATAACCAGATATAAAGAAAAGAATGAGAAAAAATGAAGAGAAGTTGTGATGATAAAATAATATAGATAGATGAATAAAAAGAAAATATAAAAAAATAATGAAGGAGAAAAAAAATAATCAAATGGAAGAGATATGGAAGAAAAATGGGGGATAATGAACATAGAAGATAGATAGATAGATGCAGATAGATAGATGGATAAGAACAGATTGTGATAGATAGATGGATAGATAGATAGATGGATAGATAGATATTGAATGATACGTGATGTCAGTTGATAGATAATGAAGATATTGTGACAGATAGATAGATGAATAATGATAGATGGATGGATAGATGATAGATGAAGAGATAGATAGATGAATGGATGGAGATAGATAGATAGATAGATAGATGACTGATAGATAGACCAAATGGATGGATGGATGGATGGATGGATCATACGAACCTATGATAGATATAGATGTAAATGTGGATTTTTGATAGATAGATAATGAATGGATAGAGATAGATGATGATAGATAGATGGATGATGGATGGATGAATAGATAGATGGATGGATGGATAGATAAGATATGGATGATGACGATGGATAGATGAATGATGGATAATAGATAGATAGATAGATAGATGAGATAGATGGATGATGAAACAGATGATAGATAGATAGATAGATAGATGAATGGATAATGAACAGATGGATAAATGATGATGGATAATGGATGAATGATAGATGGATGGATAGATGAATGATGGATAATGGATGGAAACAGATTGATGATCAAATGATGGATGGATATGGATGGAGATGAACAGATTGTGATGGATGGATGGATGATGGGATAATAGGAACAGATGGATTGATGGAGATGGAAGATGGATGGATGGTTGGATGGATGGATGGATGGATGGATGGATAGATAGATAGATGGATGAATGGATAGAGAATAATGAACAGATTGTTGATGATAGATAGATAGATAGATAGATGAATGGATGAAGATGAATGGATAGATAGATAGATGAATGATAGATAGATGAATGTTGGAAAATGACAGACAAATGGATTAGCTATGAGGAATGGGGGACCCTGATCCAGATAGATGCATGGATAATAAAGGAGAAAATGGATATCAACAGATTGTGTGATCAGATGGAAGACGATGGATGGAAATTTAACGAAAACAGAAAAAAATGGATGGATGGATAAATGGATAAACTCATTTAGAAAAGACCTTAACAACAGTTCTTTGGATGGATGGATGGATGGATGGATGGATGGATGGATGGATGGATTATGTACAAGATAGATGGATAGAAACAAATAGATAACAAAAACAGAAATTATGAATAGAAATGAAACTGAGATGAATATTATGTTGGAAAATGACAGACAAAGGATTAGCTATGAAATAAACTAAATTTCGTTCGTTATTTTAAACTAAAAATTTAAATCGACCTTCACCACCAAAAAATTAAAAGGGAAAATAAAATATCGGATCAAATTAAATATTTACAGAATTATATAATAGTCCAAAGGTGTGATTTCGTTATTATTTAATGTTTACTAATATTCCCCCAGTAAAATATTAGCGAGGCACTCAAGCCAGAGTGTCACTGTATAACTCTGTCCGACTCGGTCACAAAGGAGCGTTCGGTAGGCACGTCAGCGTAAATGACGGTTCCGTACAGGATTCAGGTTCGAATCCTGTCAAAGGAGGAGTATGTTCTATGAAAATTTCTCGGACATTGAGGCCAGTAAATGTTATTTAATACTGTTTATTATAAAACAGAGCATTTACTTAAATACTTGTATCTATAAAAAGAATGTTAAACATAAAAATGTCTTTAATAAATTGTCGGACTTTGTCCAATTCTTAATATATATATATATATATATGACTAATAGATTTGAATTTGGTTTGTCCTGTTCGTTGTTGACTCCCAACGAATATGGATATGTTGTAAACATCTCCTCTCTTGCGAATCGAGGTCCAGCAAGTATGACAAAGGCTGACCTGAATTTTAATATTGCCGAATCAGTGTAGCTAGTTACGAAGCAAAGAGAGAACACTGCTAATTTATATGCAAGATGTCAACATGATTTAATGGTGTTTATTGAATATCTACATCAAATCTACACCGTCACAGCAACGTCAACGTTCTAGGGAATTAATATATTATTCCCACACGTTCAGGTTTATGCATTTCACGATCTACCTGTCTTCATTTTAAAGGTATGAGTGTTTGTGACAAATTTTAAATTAAGTTTAGATAAATTAAGTTTAGATAATTCTTTTTTTCACAATTGATACCGTTAATGAGTTGGTATGTCGTATTATGTGTCTAAATTTATCAAGATAATATTATTTTCAGTCCGGATTCTGCTCCATTCTGTATATAAAATAATTATTACATTTGAGGCGCACGAGTGGCATATTCACCTATCGCGATGAAGGGAGATTCTCTCAGGGAGTCGCCGTGACTTGGGCGCCAATTGGATATAAGCTCCACCCAAACCCCTGGAATTCGTACATACGATCCATCGATAAAAATCCTGGAAAAATGGTTGATTCCTTGTAACACTCCAGTAAGTATCGGGCTCTTACTTCTTTCTTCTACCATTAAAAAGTTTCAAATCAGACTGCAGAAGGGCTACTGCTAACATATATGGATTGGAGTTGCCCAGTCTTCGCTTTCAAGGGGTGTTAGAGAGCAAAAGCGTCTCCATATTGTCGTGCATAATGAATTATTATTATTGTTCAGCTCAACAAGTTCATGGTTAATAAAAATTATGGGGGAAATTATGGGGGGACAATTATAGGGGGATTATAGGGGGATTATAGGGGAAATTATAGGGCAAAATTATAGGGGGGGAAATAGGAACGAGAAAGCCGAAATAATCCTCCACCGCCACACGTCCACAGAAATATACACGCATACACACACAAGGACACACATAGACACAGAACGAAAATATATTCTCTATGAAACGCGAATCGAAATATGTTGGAAAAAGACAGACAAAGCTTTGAGAATGGGCAAAAAAGACGACATGCCAAAAATTCTCAGCTTTCAAACGAAATAAATTAACGTTACACATTGTGGCGAGCCAGTCGTGGTTCCGTCCATATTCTACTGGGAAAATGTTAAGTTCCATTCGTTTCTTGCCACGAACTGTGGAACCGATTTCCAAAAGGATTTGTCCCTTACCACGGCAAACTTAACCTTTTCCTGTTTAGCGCTAACCGTTATTCTTACTCGAGTGGCTCTCGAACGTTGTATAGGATGAATATTATTGTAACCAAAAAATAATATTATATTATTTTAGTTTCTGATTCTGTTTAATTTTGTCCTCCAATCGGTTGTGAACTTGGCCAGGTATTGGCTGGTGAAACTTAATGCCTCAAAAACAAAACTGCTCTCTATTACTCACCACAGAGAACCATCCCTGCCTTCCATCAGAATGTCTTATACTCAACTCCACGAGAGCACCTCTTTGCGACTGTTCGGTCTCACATTGTCCGCTGACCTGAGATGAAACAAATACATTGAATCAATAGCGTCATCTACTGCAAGGAAAATTGGTCCCCTGTGTCGCGCCAGAAAGATTTTCTCGCCCGAGTCCATCCTTCGAATCGATAAAACAACCATTCGCCTTTGCATGGAATACTGCTGTCTTATATGATTTGGAGCCCCTGCTGTTCGTCTTACGGACCTCGACAAAATCCAGAGACGGATATGCAATGCAACTGGCCCTGATCTGACATCACGTCTACAGTCGCTTTCTCACAGACGTGTCGTCGCCTTCCTCTGTCTTTTCTACAAATCCTTCACGGTAATTGCTCCGATGAGGTACTTTCGCTAATTCCTAGACTGAATAAATTTAAACGAGCTACTAGGGTAGCATCTTGGTCCCAGCCTTTCACTGTCGAACCTGTTAAATTAGCCGTCTACTCCAATAGCTTCATTTCTCGCACTTTCCCTCTGTGGAATTCCCATCTTTTTACTTGTTACCCTGATAGCTATAATCCCCAAATTTTCAAATGTAATGTCAATCGATATCTCCAGATGCATTGATCTATTCCCTGTCCTTTTCTTCATCCTTCCCTCTATCACGTCTCTTTACTCTCGCTCGCACTCTCTGTAACCCCTTGCGTGCGAGTGGCATCGCGCCTTGCTTGGGGTCAAATGCTTAAAAAAAAATTATTATAATAGGGATGTATAAAAATATTTTCTACGGATCATATGAACTTTGAGGAGATCTAATTCTGACTGGTCTTAAATCAAATCCGATATTGATTCTGGCATTTATTGTCCGCTAATTTTTAACCTAATCCCTTCAAACTCACGGATAACCTTCCGTGCATTATAATCAAGTGAAGTAAGGAATGAGGATCTATGTTGGTGTAAAAGTCTTGCAATGGGCGAATGGTCAGATATGTGTAGAGTAAGTTAATCCCCAAACTGTGGCCAAAACAGCCATGCGTGATACACACATAGGCGGTCATGTATCTTTCGATACATGGCTGACGAGGCAGATTTTTCGGCAGTAGGTTGCCATTTCTTTCTGGGCTAGACCATTTAACATCCAAGTCTATAGAACCCGGTTTGTCCTGCTATTTAACCATAGCCGGGGGGAAAAGAAGAGGATTCATACCTATCCCAAGTGTCAGTCAGTTATGTGCCACGCGTGATCCACGCTTAGGCGATCATGTATCTTTCGATACATGAATGACAATGCAGATTTTTTTTTCCCGCAGTAGGTTGCTATTTTTTTTGCGGTAGACCACTTGCCCTCCAAGGCTATAGACCCCGGTCTGTCCTGCGATTTACCCATATCTGGAGGAAGAAGAAGAAGTTTCATACCTTTCCTATGGTTATTAGTACGTAAGTTAATGCAAGGGATTTGACTGGAATCGAACTCGCCTCTCCGATTCCTCACTCTGTGCCACATTACGCAACCGTGCCTCCGGTCAAAACAGTATGAATGTCTTTGTATAAATTATTACCGTCAATACCAGTAATATATTTTTGAAGAAAAAATTCCAGCAATAAAAATCTTGTCGGCATTAAATAACCATTAAGGTATATGCCGTAAACCAAACCAAACCAATCAAATTCTGAGTAGTTATGAATTAACCTCTTCTACCCCCCATCTATGGGTTAATTAGTAAAATCATTATTAACACCTACAAAATATCAGAATCTAAAAATATTTTCTGACATTAAATAACCTGCAAATGGTTACTAAGCCGTAGAAAACCAATCAATCAAATATTGATTAGTTACACAGTCTTTTGGATTTATTTACATTCTTTTGATTATAAATATATAGAAACTACCACAGTCACAAAATGGGGGATCAGATCATATATTGATTGTAATGTAGAATTGATCCCCCTATTTTATATCCACATTATAATTTCTTGCTTGTTTATCAAATTCTGATGAAGTATGAACCTAAAGTATTTTCCCCCAGCCGTAGGTTAATTAATAAGATTTGTATCACTAAGTCATTATTATACCCCTAAGTATTCTTACAATCTAAAATATATATATATATATAATCTGAAAGGGGTCGATAATGCGTAAAAAAATGAATCAATGAAACAGATGTCAGGGTTTTAACAGTGCTAAATGCAGCTGAGAGAATTTGGCCGTCAAACGAATAATCCCCGTAGTTGAAAAGTGACTTCAACATAATGGAACATTTTTTCCACTTAACCGGGAATTGACACATGGCACAGTGGATAAAGGCGTTGGTTAGATCAAGTGACACAAAGAGTTTGAGTTCAATACCCGGTTAAGGCAGTGGAGAACTTTCAGAGGGAAATTAACAGGAGATAACTGACATCCATTAGATATGGCACGTGGAACTAGGACAGTTTACCCCAGTCAGCGAAATAAAGTGTTCAGTTCGACAGTCCAACTACCTGAAGAAAGCCGGAGCGTACAAAGGCCGAAACGTTGTAATAAATACGGCGACAAAGATGAGGACAATAGTCCGAATAATATAAATAATGTACATAATACCTCATCTCAGAAATATAGATATATTTTATGCTGTAGTTTTGTTATATTTTGGAATACCGTTTACTTTAAGATATTGTTAAATATTATTAACGAGAAAACACCTTGGCATTTTCTATTGGGAAGAAAAAAAACAATGGGTTTGTGCGAGAAAAATATTGGGGGACACCAGGAACTTCTTGCAAACTGAGAAAAAATGGCGTGGTTTGTACACATTTTCAGCCTGTGCAAGATCATCATCAAAGCACCGTTGAAGATGGATATAAGAATGGACGCCAACGCAAAAAAAAACAACTAGTTGGACAATGCCAAAAAATTTGACAGATAGGTCTACCAGAATTGCTGATGGCTGATGTTGATAGACGTTTGGGGAAAAGAATTAGTGTGGCTTCTGCATTCGGATCCTCACTGGGATTACAAAAGTCAAGGGGATGAAGAGGAGGGGGGAGGAAAAGGAGGACTTTATATGGACTAATGTCATGAAAGAGTTCTTTCTTGTTCGTTGTTTGTCTGGTTGATTCTATTTATCGACATATCAAAACCTCTATGGGTTATTTAATACCGAAATCTAAATATTTTTACGTAATTTTATGCTTTCAACAACAGATAACTGTACATATGTTTATATTTTTTGAGTAAAAAAATGCTTTTTTAGAAATATATTTCGTTGACATAAAACATGTTGTTGGTATTTCCAATATAAAATGTTTTTTTTTTATATATTTATAGTGTTGCAATAATTCTCATTTTGCTAAAAAAATTATATTGTTGGTCATTATATTATCAAAATATACTCTTGATTTCTTCCTTAGGAATTCAGTTTTTGCCCATAGTTGTGACCCTAACAGGTGCTACCACCGGAGTCAGCATGGAATTGGGAACGATAGAAAGTAAGATGTGCTTTCACGCCCGCAAAAACCTACAAATTCCCGATCAGACGTCTTGATGCAGGAAGTAGATTTTAGTCATACCCAGAAATTAATTCTGATTGTCCCAGGGGCCTGGAATTCTTGTGATACAATATCCGTGAGTCCATCTTATACTCTCTGAAAACTTGGCGGGCAAAACTGATTAGTACTAAATAAAAACAAGACCTGATATACATAGGTACAATCAGCGGGGCGCAAAGAGTCCACCCATGGAGATGAAATATCATCTGCCACCTGAAAGAATCTAGAGGTTACCTGATCCGACAAGTAGAGCGTCCAAAAATTAGTTATAATAAAAAAAAAGTTGAGGGCGACAGTTAATATAATGTCAGCCCCTTACTTTTCAAAACCTTGAACGGATACAAGTGGAATATTTCAATGGCGAATAAGGAATCAGGCAGTTATCATGGCCGCATTTGATGTCTTCGCTCTATTTGTTCCGCCTGACTATACGGAGAACCTTATTAATTTTGCTGTCACTGAACCCATATTCTCTATAATTTCATTTTATATAGACGTGGTTAACAGTCGAGAAAAAAAACAAAACAAGTAGAGACTTTCGTAAAATGTATCCTTCGAATAGAGATGTACCTCTTGCCTTTAATATGTGTAGATAAAGCAAGAAAGACTGCTGTGAGGCAGATCAACAAATGAGTGCCTGAAGTTGAA